CAATATCTTTGCCTTTTTCAGGTTTACAAGAGTAAGTATTTTTAAATATCATACAGTTTTCTGATGGAACAAAGTAATAGCCAAATCCCAGATAGGATATTCCCATTTTGATGCATAACATTCATAGTATGTTGAGGAGTAAAGATCAAGTACTTCTGGACATACTTTATAACACTTTGGTTACAGTGTATATAAGGCTGTGTGTTTTAATATTGATGGGGGAAAAAGTAAATAAAATTTAGCAACATTCATGGTAAGTCTCAGCAAAATAGGCATAGAAGGAAATTCTCTTAATCTAATAAAGGGCATCTTTAAAAAACCTATAGGTAATATCATACTCATACATGAAAACTAAATGCTTTCTTCCTACGGTCAGAATAAGATAAGGATGCTCTTTCTTAAACTTCCAGTCAACATTTCCTTACAGGTATCAGCCAGTGTAACAAGGCAATAAAAATGAAAGCATAAAAATTTGAAAGGAGATTTAACATTCTTAAGTGACATTGTTTACATAGAAAAGGACTAAGGATTTAGCAAAACTACAGTAAAAAATAATGAGTCTTAGTAAGTTACCAGGATACAAGGTAAACTTACAAAAATTACAAATAATTGAAAATAACAGTTTAAAAAACTATTTCATTTACTTTTACATCAAAAAAGATACTTAAGAATAAGTAAATGTAAAAACCTTTGCACTGAAAAGTACAACATATTGCCTAAAGAAATTAAAGAGGAAATTAACTTGATAAATATATAATGTTCATGAAAGACACAATGCTCTCAGTTCTCACCCAAATTGATTGTACTATAAATTCAGACATTCCTTATCAAACACTGAAAAATAGAACTAACGAGTTAACTAAAATAGAATGATACATGAAAGATGTAGACTAAAATATAGTCAAAATAATTTTGAATAAGTTTGCCGAAACTTTACACTATTTCACTTCAAGACTTAACAAAAAAGGTGCATTAAGACAATGATGTTGACCTATGGATAGAAAACCAGTAAGTAAAACAGTCATAATGAACTTTTGCAGTATCAATTGATTTTTGAAAAATGTACCAAACCAAATCAGTAGAGAAAGAAAAGTTCTTTCAACAAAAGGCCCTGTAACAACTGGATATCCATATGGAAAGGGAAAAAAACAAAAACTGCAACATCTATCTCACCTCAAAATTTGAACTGGATCAATTATCAAAATGTACACTGTCAAGCATTCAGAAGAAATTTTAGAGTATCTTCATGACCTGGGAATAGGCAAGTATTCTAACAGTCAATTAGATAAAAGTAAAGCAGTTACCAAAAAAGAATATTGGTAAGATTTAAGTTTCACCAAAATTTAAATTTCTGTTCATTAAAATGCATTTAGAGGCAGTAAATGAGCAAGCACAGACTGGTAGAAAATATTTATTAAAATGTATATCTGGACCCTCCCTGGTGGTGCTGTGAGTTAAAGCACCACATAATGAAGCTCTCCAAAGCCACTGAATCATGAGTTCGATCCCCTGCCAGGGAGGTAACCCACATGGTGCTGCAGACCTCTCCTGGCCCGCCTGCTGCTCCCCTCAGCAGTGTACTTCATTGGTGTGCCTGTTCTGCTCCCCACTCTGTCTCTGGTGAACCTTCTCACCCACCACACCTCTGGCCTGTACCCCAGTTCTGTCAGCATAAATAAATAGATCTTAAAAAAAAAAAAAAAAGATATCTGAGGTCCTCCCTAGTGGCTCAGCAAGTTAAAGCACAGTACTATGAAGCGATCCTCAGCCATTGCAGCACAAGTTGGATCCCCAGCCAGGATCTCTCCTGTCTCTTCTGCTGCTCCCCTCAACTGTTTATTTCAGTCAATCCACTTGTTCTGCATCCCCACACCACTGGCCTATACCACAGTTCTTGTATGCATAAATAAATCTTTTATAAAAAATGTATAGCTGACAAAACACAGAATTAGAGAACTCTTATAATTCAATAATGGAAAGACAAACATTAAATTAGGTAAAAAAAATATATGAGGCTCTCCCTGGTGGTGCAGCGGGTTAAAGCACAGCACTAAGAAGCTTAAGCCACTTCCGCATGAGTTCGATCCCCGCCTGCCCCAGAGGAGATCCACATGGCGTGGCAGATCTCTCCTGACCCGCCCGCTGCTCCCCTCAGCAGTGTACTTCATCAATCTGCCTGTTCTGCTCCCCACTCTGTCCCTGGTGAATCCTCTCACCCTCCACATCTCTGGCCTGTACCCCAGTTCTGTATGAATAAATAAATCTTAAAAAAAAAAAAATATATGAATGGTTGACTACTACATGAAAAGGTATTCACAATGAGATTCCACTTAATAGCCACTTGAATACTAAAATTAAAAACACTGGTATTACCAAATACTAACAGATTGCCATAACAGAAACTCATATTATTGGTGGGGTAATACAATGGTATAACCACTTGCAGAACTGTTAGTAATTTCAGAAAAGTAAAAAAATATATATACTCTTAAACCAAGAAATTCTACTTATAATTATTAACACAAAATAACACAAAGCATGAAAAGATGTTTTTCTTCACTGGTCATTAGGCAAATTAAGGTGAGATGCCCTTTCACTTCCTTTAGAATGACAAAAAGTAAAGACATCAGTGAGGTGATTTTTCATTATGTTTTGAGGAATATAAGTTAATTTGACCACTTTGGAAAACATGTAGTCCAACCCACCAGTTGCACTGCTAGTGAGAAAGCACATGTATCATAATGTACACTGCAGCACAGGTTGCAAGTTTGTCAAAAAGTGTCTTCAATACTCATTTGCAGAAAGAAGGATGAATAAGTTGTGGCTTATTCCTAATAATAACAAGAGTTTAACTAATTAGACCAGAGCCACATGGAGAAATATGAAGGGAGGATAAGACAGAGTGCAAAATAATACAGTCTGATACCACATATATATAACTTGATATATAAAAGGCATATTTATGTACATATGCATTTGTGGTAAAAATGCAGTTATGCATGGGAATGATGACTGATTATTTCTGAGGGAAGGAGGGGTCTTAGACAAGTACTACAAGTTAAGGCAAATTGGGCAAGTATTGAGGTATAACAACTTGTTGGTACATGGTTATTTGTTTTATTCTCTCTACTTTTCTGAATGTCAAAATAGGTCACGCCAAAATTATAAAGATAAATGAAAACAGGTAATAGTTGAAAACAGAAGTTTAGGATACAAATAATGGGAACCAACTCTTAATATCTGCTCCTTCACACACCTTCATTTCTGGGACTCCAAACATACACTATACACATTGTTCCATCCCCTTTTTTATACCATCTAGGATGCCTTTCCTACTAGACACCCATATTTGGCTGGTAGGATTTTTTTTTTAAATATTTTTATTTATTTATTTATCTTTAAAGATTTATTTATTTATGCATACAGAACTGGGGTACAGGCCAGAGGCTCAGGGGCGGTGAGAGGCTTCACCAGAGACAGAGTGGGGAGCAGAACAGGCAGATCGACGAAGTACACTGCTGAGGGGAGCACTGGCTGGATCAGGAGAGGTCTGCCACACCATGTGGTCACCTCCGGGGCAGGCGGGAATCAAACTCATGCGGAAGTGGCTTTAGCTTCTCAGTGCAGTGCTTTAACCGCTGCGCCACCAGGGAGGGCCCAGGATATATATTTTTTTTTTTATCTCAGAAGACACACGCACAAAAAAGCTAGTTTTGAATTCTAGCTCTGCAATGGGCTTTGAGTAAGGTAACTTCTCTCACTGTCTCCTTAACTCCTCAGCCTCCTTGGTAACAATAATGTGTTCTTCAGGGGCCTCCCTGGTGGTGCTGGGGTTAAAATCTCAGGGCTGTCAAGCTATCCATAGCTAGCCACTGCCGCATGAATTCCATCTTTGGCCATGGAACTAACCCTCATGCGCAGCAGACCTATCTTACTAGCTGTCACCTCATTGGTAGATTTCAATAGATGTGCTTTTTTGTTCCCACTCTCTCTGGTGAATCTTTCACCTCTTTGACCTATGGCCTACATCCCAGTTCTTGTATGCATAAATCAATAAAAAAGGATCTTTTAAAAAATTGTGTTCCATAACTGAGATGAAAAAATGCACAAAATGAAGAATGATGTAAAAAATATATATAAAAATAGATATAAAAAATTGTGTTCTTTCACTGATACAACAAATACATATTGAAAACCTATTATATGTCAAGCAACTATACTAGGTACTGGGATGTAATGGTAAAGACAGCTTTTAAAAATACAGCTTTCTAGCCCCTAATCCAGACCCCTTGAATTAGAATGTCCAAGATTGAGGCCTGAGAGTTTGTTTTCTTTCTTTTTGCCCCTCCTTTGTTAACTCTGGTTGATTCTTATGAGAGACAACCTAAGATAAAAGCTGGTCTAGATAATATACTTTCTTTTAAGGTTTCAACTGGGTTCTATAGGCAAAACATTTTAATCTAGCTGTTCATATTTCTTTGCCTTATTTCTAAAACACTTCAGGCCTGAGGACTTGCGTCGTGAGTTTGGTCGATATGGCCCAATAGTAGACGTTTACATTCCACTTGACTTCTACACCCGCCGCCCAAGAGGATTTGCTTATGTTCAATATCCTTTATTTTACTGTGTGCATGTGATCATACTGTATACATGTGTATGAACTTACGCATATTCAGGAGCAAATGTATACAATTAAAATTGCCTAATTAAATGTGTTTATTTCTTTATCTCAGAAAATCTAAAGCAGTCCACAGTAGCTGGCAAGCACCCCTCAGTTTGAACCAACCTGTTAGCTAGAATCCAAGCATAAACCAAGCAGGCGAGAAAAAGACACCCAAAGTTCAAGCATCAAGGAGTAAAGAGGGAGGGTGGACACAGATATAAAGACCTGGAAGAGGGGAAGTCTTTATCAAGCAAAAGACAAAGCCAACACCAGGTTGAGACTTCGGCTTTCCTACATTTATTCAGAGTTCCAGAGTCAAAGCCAAGTCTGATTTTGTTGGGTCTGCGTCCTTATAAAGTCCATCTTGCAAGCCTTAAAGAGTAAAGGTCAAGGTTCAAGATCAAGTGACATTGAGGTAATTGCCAAAGTCTAATTTTGTGTTGCATTTCTTGAGCTTTTTCTGTTTTCTACTTAAAAAAAATATTAAACCAGTGAACCTCCTGAAATATAGCTAATTATTTTTTATATACCTTATTTCCATTTTAGTTAGGTTTATTTATATTTATAGTTAGTTAACTTACATAGATAAGGGAATTAAGTAGAATATGACAAACCAATACATATAATTTTCGATGTCTGCAAATTGGCTTTATGGTTTGTTTTTAATAACATACTAAGTAGTAAAAGCATAAAGGTATTTTAAAACATATTGAGAGGTAAATGCAAATATTTTTAAGACAGTCATTTTTGAAAAATACAATGTGTTAGCTCACTCTAGTGTGTGTACAATTTTATTTATATTTTTTCCTAAATAAAAAATCCATTTAGTGAAGGAGTAATTTTAATTTCAGAATAAAGGTTTCTGCATGCTGATTTTTTTTTAGTGAAAAACCTGATAATCTTTTATTTGAAAGAAAGGAGTAAGTCCTAACAGTATGTTGGACTTATTTTTTTCTTATGTTTTCAATTATAGATGTATACTTCAACTACACTAATGTATATATTAGAAATACAGTTACATGTTTGCTTCTGCTTTTCATTTTTTTTTATCATTCCACTAAATGATAGCAAGGCATTTGTTTACATAATAAAAGTGAGCTTGTTTTCCTATTACTCATATTAGAGATCTGAACTTAATAACTTGAACTTGTTTTTCCTATTAATTTCATGTCACATGCAAATAATTCATTAAAAATAATATTTCTACTTGATATCTGATATTCAAAGTGTCCTTAACAGCTAGTCATATTTGAAGATGTTCGAGATGCTGAAGATGCTCTTTATAATCTCAATAGAAAGTGGGTATGTGGCCGTCAAATTGAAATACAGTTTGCACAAGGTGATCGCAAAAGTAAGTGTAACTAAATTTTAGAACCTATTCAACACTTTTAGCAATATTTTCTTAAATGTAATCAGAAAATGATACTGTAAAGTGGAAAAACTTTCAGGAACTGGAGTCAAAGATCAAATTTTAGAACAAAAGATGGCAGTACTCTTATCATTTAACAATTTATAAGAGCTTTAGGACTTCAGTGTTAGGAATTGGGGCAGAGCCATATATAGATAGATAGACACCCATGAATATATATAATTTATGTTATATGTATCATGAATATTATTGAATATACTTATATTCAATGTATTATATATCTAAATATACATAAATATGTATCATGTTTTATGTATCATGAATATTATTATTAATAACAGTATCATCGGTAATATTTGTATGGCTATTATTTGAGGTTTTCAGGTTAGAAATTGTAAATCTTGCACTTCATATTCTAGCACCAGGTCAAATGAAATCAAAAGAACGTCACCCTTGTTCTCCAAGTGACCATAGAAGATCAAGAAGCCCCAGCCAGAGGAGAACTAGAAGTAGAAGTTCTTCATGGGGAAGAAATAGAAGACGGTCTGATAGCCTTAAAGAGTAAGTACAAAATACAAAGAGAATTGAAAAATCTTATTTTCTACTGCTTCTGGAAAACATTAAATATTAATAGTTTTTAAATAGGCCGCCTGAAACTTTTGTTTACTATCTATAAAAAATCAACTATGACAGGAAAATGTGCTCTTCTGCATTTACAAGTATTGTTATTTAACTTGGGTTTGTTGACTATCTTCCAATGTTTTTATTTCATGACAAACTTCACCCTTTTTCATAAATTCCTTCAGCTTTTGTTTGCTTGAGAACATCTTCATTTTAGTGTCATTTTGGGGAAGGATTTTTTTGCTAGTGATAGAATTCTGTTGGGCAGTAATTTTTCTTTATTAGTCTAATTGTCTTTTTTTAAATATCCATAGTCAGCTGTCAGTCATAATGTTACTCCATTGAAGGTAACATGTCTTTTATTCTCCAGTGCATTTTCAGATATTTCTCTGACTTTGGCTTTCAGCTGTTTCACTGTGCTATGCCTAATGTCATTTTATTTGTATTTATTCTACCTGGGATTTACTAATCTTGAAATTATAAGTTGATGTCTTTCATTAATTTTAGAAAATTCTTCTTCTTTTTTTTTAATATTTATTTATTCATACAGAACTGGAGTACAGGCCAGAGGGCAGGTCCGGTGAGAGGATTCACCAGAGACAGAGTGGGGAGCAGGACAGGCAGATCGATGAAGTATACTGCTGAGGGGGCTGATCAGGAGAGGTCTATTGTGCCCTGTTGGTCACCTCCGGAGTGGGGATCGAACTGATGCTGTGGCTTTAACTTCTTAGTGCTGCATTTTAACCTGCTGTGCCACTAGGAGAACCCAATTTTGGAAATTCTATCTCTTTAAATATTACTTCTTCCGTTATCTCTTAGTTTTTCCTCTTTGCCAGGTGACTGACTATGTGTTACATATCCCTATGCACTCCTCTAATGTTCTTTATTTTTTTAAAGACTTTTATTTATGCATACAAGAACAGGGTGTAGGGCAGAGGTTTTGGGTGGGGAGTAGGGAATGGATTTACCAGAGACAGAGTGGGGAGCAAACGGCAGATATAGTGAAATCCACTGCTGAGGGGAGCAGCAGGAGAGACAGGAGAGGTGAGACAGGAGAGGTCTGCTGTGCCATGTGGGTCACCTCTCTGGCCAGACATGGAACTCTTGCTGCACTGGCTGCCAATACCTCAATAGTGCTGATATTTAAAACCCCAAGTACCTCCAGGGAACCCCCTTTTATAGAGTTCTTAAAATTCCTTTTCTTTAACTGAGTTTCAGCAGAATGTTTTTCAATTTTTACTTCCACTCTAGCTACACTTCTGTTAAATCCATTTAATGACTTTTTAAAACCAGGTATATATTTTCAGTTCTAAAATGTCCATTTATTTCTTTCCATAGATTCTAATAGCCTGTGGAAATTCTCCATCTTTTTTCATCTGTATTGTCTGTTGTTGCTTTTATTTATTTATTTATTTATGCATGCAAGAACTGGGGTACAGGACATAGGTGCAGGTGGGTGAGAGTGGGGAGCAGAACAGGCAGATTGACTGAAACACACTGCTGAGGAGAGCAGCGGATAACTTAAAGTGGGTCCCTCCCTGGTGGTGCAAGGGGCTAAGATGCAACCTATGAAGCTGCCTGCAGCCACCAGCATGAGTTCGATCTCTGACCAGGTAGGTGACATGGCACAGCAGACCTCTCCTGACCTGCCCGCTGCTCCTCTCAGCAGTGTACTTTGTCCATCTCTCTGTTCTGCTCCCCACTCTGTCTCTGGTGAATCCTCTCACCCACCTTTACCTCTGGCCTGTACCCCAGCTCCTATGTACAGAAATAAAATTTAAAAATCTTTTTTAAAAATCCTGTCTGAATAATGCTAATATCTAAATAAATCACATTGGCTCTGTCTTTTATCTTTATTTTAGCTTTTGGTCTATTTTTTTCCCCACATACCGTAGGCTTTTTTATTGAATGTTGTGTGTATGCTGTTCAAAAATTACACAACCTTTGGGTGATATTTACCACTTCAAAAAAATTTCTTTTCTTCTACCAGGCAGAGTATTGGGAAATCACAGAGCTTCACTTGAAGCATTGCTATGGCTGGTCTGTTTCAGCTTTACTCCTTCGGCATGATCCTTAAAACTTGCAAGATACGGCTCTTCTGAGTTCTTAATTGAAAGCCTGAGTAGTTATATAAGATCCCTTGACCTTTTGAGACTAGAACTCTAGCTTCTCTAACATTGTGTCTGATAAAATTTCATCTCAATTCTTGAATCTTCAGCTGCTAACCTCTTGGATTCTTATCATATATATGCACAGCTTAGAAAAATGGCTTGTGACTTGAGAATTTGTAGGCAGGTCTATGGTTTTTTTTTTTCCTTAAAGATTTATTTATTATATGCATACAGAACTGGAGTACAGGCCAGAGGTGCAGGGGTGGCGAGAGGATTCACCAGAGACAGAGTGGGGAGCAGAACAGGCAGATTGACTGAAATACACTGTGGAGGGAAGCAGCGGATAAGACAGGAGAGTTCTGCCACATCAAGTGGGTCACCTCCCTGATCAGGGATAGAACTTCTGTTAAAGCGGCTGTGGCTAGCTTCATAGTGCTGTGCTTGACCCGTTGTGTCACCAGAGAGAGCCCGGGTTTTGTTTTGTTTTCTCTTTCTGCAGTTCTCTCATCTCTGGAATTTTGCCTCTCAACTATCAACCAATTTGACAGCCCTAAATTTTGACAGCTTAGTCAACTAGCCATTTCTGATTTGGGTTAATTTCCCATGCTGGCATTTGGAAAATGGTCTTAGTAAAAGAATAATGGATTTGGCCTCCCTGGTGGCACAGTGGGTTAAAACACATCACTGAGAAGCTAAAGCCACTTCAGCATGAGTTCGATCCCCATCCTGGGAAGTGACCACATGGCGTGGCAGACCTCTCCTGACCCACCCGCTGCTCCCCTCAGCAGTGTACTTCATCAGTTGGCCTGTTCTTGTAACCACTCTGTCTCTGGTTAATCCTGTCACTACCCCTACACCCTTGGCCTGTACTCCAGTTCTGTATGCATAAATAAATAAATCTTAAAAAAAAAAAGAATAATCACTTATCACCACTTAAGTTCTGTTTTTGTTGGTTATTCTTCAATGCCTTATATATAAGGCTTCTGCATTTTCTATGTAGCTATTTTCCATGGGAGGATTAGTATAATACAAGCTGAAATCCATGACAGGATTCAAAAGGCATTTAGGTATTTGTTCTTATAGTCATTACTTGATAAGCTTTAAATAATTACTTTCTTTTTCTTTTTTCTCCCCTTCAGATTTTCCTTCCTCTAAGGAGTTGTGTAACCCAGACTAAATATGTAGGACCAAAATTGACCCATATCATACAGTTTATCTAGCAAAGTAAAAATCTTTGGTCATGTAGTCACATTTAACAAACATATTTGAGCCAAAAATATGCATAATATAATTAACATTTTGTTTAATTTATCCAATAAAAACATAACTAATGTTATAAAAAAATTTATGTTCCTAAAAGTGTTGTTCTCTACCCTTTTTAATTGTTTTGAGTGAAATATGTACTCTAATATTATGGATGTTTGCAGGTCACGGCACAGACGATTTTCTTACAGCCAGTCTAAATCCCGTTCTAAATCACTACCAAGGCGGTCTACCTCAGCAAGGCAGTCAAGAACTCCAAGAAGGAATTCTGGTTCTAGAGGACGGTCAAGGTCCAAGTCGCTACAAAAAAGGTCCAAGTCAATAGGAAAATCACAGTCAAATTCACCTCAAAAGCAGACTAGCTCAGGAACAAAATCAAGATCACATGGAAGACATTCTGACTCCATAGCAAGATCACCATGTAAATCTCCCAAAGGGTATACCAATTCTGAAACTAAAGCACAAACAGCAAAACATTCTCATTTTCGATCACATTCCAGGTCTCGGAGTTATCGTCATAAAAATAGTTGGTGAAGAGCAACGGAAAAGTGCTACGTAGTCTTTAATATAAGTTATTAAACCTCTCATTATGTTAAATAAAAATTCTTTGAGGCTTACAGAAAATGTGAGTTGATATTAGTTACTTTGAGCATGTGCCAGAAATAAAATCTCTCTAGCTTTGAATTAATAAAGATTTTGTCTCAGTTTAAGGGTTCACCCACAAATTATGATGTCTTATGTCACCATTCTGTAGACCAGTTTTTGTTTACATTGGCAGAAGGATACATTTCAAAGGAAATGGGTAAATTAGAACTAATTAAGAAAATTCTAAATACTTGGTTATTAAATATTAGTAATATGAATAATACCTTTTACAAAGATATTTTTTATTTTAAAGCACTTTACTTTCATGTGAAAACTAATTATAACTTTGTAATTGCATATGGCAAGTGAACTATTTGACATACTTTCTCTCTTTTGTGTCTTCTTTTAAACTAGGGCCAATTCATGGTTGATACTGGTTCACATTAAAAAATGATGCCATTTCTAAAAATAGAATTCATATAGAAACCAAGCATTGAGAAATACTTTCTTTCCTGAACTCAAATAGGTTTTATTTTTATTGGATGGAATGGTATGTGTAATTTTGCATTAAATTTCATCCTATACCATGTTCACTTCAGAAATACCAAAAATGTTTCAGAAAACTAAACTTTGAATGGTTTGAGAGTTTTCAAAACATTCTGTGAAATAATTTCAATTAAAAATACTCATATTAAGCCTTACACATTTGAACAGTGGTACATTTTGTATAAAAACCATTTTATACCATTATTTCTACATATCTACTTTTCATCTCAATTTTTTTCTGGAGCTCTAGCTCAAGACTTTAAATATATAGAATAACTTGTTATTTTTGAGAGTATTTAGACCTTCTATGAACTGAAGGCTGCACCCTCAAAAGCCAACTTTGCAGTACTTGAATTTACAATATACTGCCCTTCATTTTTTTTTTAAACCAAATGATACTTATTGCTTTTGTAGTTGTTATAACTAAGAATTTCTTTAAAAGTGTGTTTGTAGTTTTGTTTTTCAAAGGATTTTGGTAGTATTTGTGATAAAATGGTTTTACATAATTATAAGAGATATATTTGTAGAGCTCTACTTGTGTACCTTGTTGAATTATATTGAAAATTAAACATTCTAAACCCATACAGTTAATATTTGTATCTAGAGTGCTTAAGAAAAAAAAAAAAACTGTCTTATATTTTTAGCATATAGGAGCCAGTGTTGCTTCTATTTGTTTGGAATAAAAGTTTCATTTTTCTTTGCATTTTAGATCTTATGTATAAGAAGGAACTTTACAAAATAATATGCTAGTAGTATTTGGAAAAGTATCATAAGTATGTAAACTGTACTTTCTGAATAGATTTTTCTCTTTACTCATAGCAAAATTTATTTCAAAATTACAATTGTTTAGCTATAATAAACTCAATTACAAAATTATGTGGCATCTTGAAAATTTGAAGGATAGGAAATTTAAAGAAAGTAAGATAAAGAGTAATTTTTCATATTTTCCAAATAAATGGATTTACACACAAATACATAATTGTTCTAAATACTAGCTAGAAAATTAGTATAATATCTTTACTCTGCATTTAATCATTATAACTTAGTATAGAGTTAACTGGTTCTGAACATATTTAATTCTTTATCTCTTATTTGGTTTTCCATAGAAATACATAGGTTGGTTAGGAGGATATTAGTTGGTTTGATGGAAAACTAGAATGATATTTCAAACTTATTTGAACATTTACTTTGTTTTTGGCAGTATTTATAAGTCTTATATTATTTACTCATCTATTTAGTAATCACAACTTTATGAGGTAAATACTAATGTGTAAGGAAAGTGAGGTCAGAAGTTAAATAACAGGCATAATGTCACATGACCTTTAGACTTTAGAGCTGGGGTTGGCTAGACTCTATACTACCTGTGTTTGACTATACTTTGACTTTTAGAAAACAAACTGACAAATATATGGCCACGATGTTTAGAGGAAAAGGAAAGATTTGACTTAGAAAAGAAATGATAATAGGCTCGAGTGGAAATTGGCATTTGTGCTGGTATCATGGAAAATTGTCTTCTGGGTTTATTCTAGGGTGCATTTTTATTAAAGAATTGTTTCTTGGGCCAATTAAGAGGATACTTAAGGTGAGATTGTTAATAAAGCAAGTGTCTTAGACATCTGTGTTCATTTTCAGGTACTTCCCAAGTTTAGTCTAGGGGCATTAAGCCCTTTTTTCTCTGATCACAGAGGATAAGTTATTATCAATGAAAATAAAGATGGCCACTACAACTGCTTGTTTTCTTGCTCCCCACGAATAATACATGATTTATGTATAGCAGCAGGTGTTTTGCAGCTGCAAGTAGATGGGGATTATGCTGTATTTTTTTTTTACAAGGTTTATTTTTACATCGGTTTCATGATTTTTCTTTATCGCGATTGTAATCCCCGCGGGTTTCCCATCACCAAATCACCCCTGTGCCACCACCATAGTCCCGTGCATTTCCCTCCCTTCCCCCCCCCCTTTTTGATCCCATTCCCCACTCCACCCCCACAGAATGTTTCTGGTATATGGTTGTTCATTATTTTTGTTATTTTCTCGCCTGGTCCATTATACTCCTGCTATGAGTGACACCATCCGGTATTTTTCTTTCTCTTTCTGGCTTATCTCACTAGCATGATCTTTTCCAGCTCCATCCAAGTTGCTGTAAAAGACATGTGTTTCTCTTTTTTGGTTGCGAGTGATATTCCATTGTATATATGTACCACATCTTTCTAATCCAGTCATCTACTTTTGGGCATTTGGGCTGCTTCCATGTTTTTCCAATTGTAAATAAAGCATATGCTGTATTTTTTTATTTGGCAATTAGGATTTAATCTTGTGCCACTAAGCTATTAATTTTTAAATATTAACAAATTTCAAGGTTTTATATATTATTTGTATTGTTTAAGAGCCAACTATTCTAAGACATCATTAGAAATAAGAATTTCTACTTTTATTCTAATGCCTTTCCACGAGGCACAATTAATCAAAGTTGAAAGGAAATAGTATTAAAAACACTTTTATAATTCTTTTAAACGAAAATTCTGAGTTCCTACTTAAATTTGTTTTCCAAACAGGTTGGTAGAATATTTAGGATACTGATTTAGATAAATAATGTGCTTCATGGTCTGATGTAGATAATCTTAAACTGGCATCACAGAACCATAGCTTTAGGTCTCGGCCCTGTAGATTTCAGAGTCTCAAAAGTTTTTAAGCCAAAACTAGGTTTTAATTTTAATCACCCATTTACTGTGCAATTTTCTCACCAATTTCTGTGCCGTGGGGTTAATAGCGTTTAAAAAGATGCCCAACTGTGCCCCCCCTGGTGGCGCAACCACTAGGACACAGTACTGCAAACTAGTGTAGCTACTTCAGTGCGAGTTAGAGCCCAGGCTGGGAAGGTAATCCATATGGCACTGTCCGCTGCTCCCCTCAGCATTGTACTTTATGGATCTGCCTGTTCTGCCCCCATTCTGTCTTGGTGAATCAACTTGCTGCCCCTGTGCCTCTGGCTTGTACCGCAGTTTTGTATGCAAATATAAATCTTTTTTTTAAAAAAAAGCACAACTAAGTGCAGGGTAGGCATTTAAATGTTAATTTTCACTTTCACTTTTTAAATATGTGAAATATTTAATTTTAAAATATATATTTTTTTAGATTTATTTGTGCATACAGAACTGGGGTATAGGCCAGAAATGCAGGGGCGGCGAGAGGATTCATGAGAGACAGAGTGGGGAGCAGAACAGGCCAACTGATGAAGCACACTGCTGAGGGGAGCAGCAGGCGGGTCAGGAGAAGTCTGCCCCACCATGTGGTCACCTCCGGGGCAGGTGGCGGTCAAACTTATGGGGAAGTGGCTTTAGCTTCTTAGTGCTGTGCTTTAACTTGCTGCGCCACCAGGAAGGGCCTAAATAACCTATTTTAAAGAACAGTCAAGTTTTGTATATGAGTACTATGCAACATAGCATCTAAACTTAGCATAATTCTTGAAACTAGGCTATTTAGGATCATAAACAGCCACTAAGTTCGACTTTGGTCTAGCAGTTCAATTAAAGCCCTTTGAAAAATTTATATTTCATGTACCTTTAAAACTATACAAGCAAATTTAGTATAAAGATAATTCAGTTAAAAGTCTTTTAGGGTTGTGCATTTCTTTTTCTTCTTCTTTTTTTTTTTTTTAAAGATTTATTTATGCTTACAGAACTAGGGTACAGACCAGAGGTGTGGTTGTTAAGAGGATTCTCCAGAGACAGAGCAGGGAGCAGAACAGGCAGATTGACAAAGTACACTGTTAGGGGAGCAGCGGGAGGGTCAGGAGAGGTCTGCCGCGCCATGTGAGTCAGCTCCCTGGCCAGGGATCAAACTTGTGCTGCAGTGGCTTTGGAGAGCTTCATAATGCGGTGCTTTAACCTGTTGCACTACCAGGGAGAGCCCAGGACTGCATTTCTTCATAGAAGTGCTAGCTATTCCAAGTTGATTCAACTCTCAAAACAGTGACGATGACAAACACCATTCATTAATTTAGAGGAATCATGAAAAACAATAGACTGTTATAACAGCAGTAACCTATCCCGAACCCCTATGAAGGTATAATGCTTTCATTCTAGTATGAGCAAAGGGTTACATGATTAGTCGTTCTGGAATCTTGTATTCTAGGAATAAACCATAACACTGAACTAAAAAAATACTATCAATTTGAGGTAAATGAATGCTCAGTGGGTTTTTGGTTACCATTTCTTAACAGTAGTGTGTGATTTTAAGTATATATTTGGTTCACACAAAGCACCATATTCAATCTATATTTGTTTATAAACTAGTAAGTAAATTACAAATTAAAAAATATTGTGTGCCAGTTTTCACGTTCTTTCAGCATGCTGATAGAAAATTAGAAGGATCTCTCCCTTCAGATTAGAGAATGCCTACTCAGTAATCCTGACTTTCATAGAAATTGATTCCATATTCATTACTATTTTACCTTACCTATGTTATACCTATGTTACCTATGTTATACCTATGTTATTCTATGTTAGAATAAGTGTATGTTCAAAAAAAGGGTAGTTGAAATGAGAAAATTACTACAGTAGTCTAGGGGTGTCATTTTGTTAACTAAATGCCTATGTACTATACGTTTTTTAGAAATAGCTTCACAGAGGTAGACTAAGAAAAATAAGAATTCTTTACTGTGACCACCAATTTTCCAGAGAGATACATTCTAGTTTTCTTTACTCCTGATAGTATATACTTAAAATGCAGTTAAGCTGACTGTAATTTAAAAATCTCAGTTATAGAAATTGTTCCTAGTTGTAACTGCTAGCATATTTCTTAAAATCTAAGTCTTTTTGGAGAAAAATTAGTAACCATCTCTTATATTTGTAAGGCAGTATCTGCATCTTGAGAAAAAGTACCCTGTTGAAAATCTTTTCAAAGTTGACATGTATCTGGTCAAAACACTTCTATGCGATCATTTTAAAAAGTTCTGCCATCTTGTGAAATACTTAATTGTTTTTTTTTTTTTAAGACTTATTTATGCATACCAGAACTGAGGTACAGGCCAGAGGTGCGAGGAGTGAGAGGATTCACCAGAGACAGAGTGGGGAGCACAACAGGTAGGTCAACTGAAACACACTGCTGAGGGGAGCAGTGTGTGGATCTGGAGAAGTCTGCCACGCATTGTGGGTCACCTCCTTGCCAGGGGATCCAACTTGTGCTGCTGTGCTTTAACCCATTCGCCAATGGGAGGACCCCATTGTGAAATATTCATATACTTTAGGAAAGACAAGAACTTTAGGGAAAAGCATGATTATCATTGTGAGTAAAGCCTAAATTTTGGGCTTTTAAATGCTAAATATAGGACATGATTACAAGGCATTTATGATCTAGTTCTTTTAAGCTATTTATAACAATATTCATAACAATTTTTAGTGTATTTAAGCATTAACCATTTTTGCTTTTGTTTAGTACTTTACAATTCCCTACTCTTAGCATATAATCAACTAAATAGGGTTTTTAAAAACACTCTAGAAAATGAAGATTTAAAAAAAAATTTTTTTTTTTTAATTTATACAGACAAGAACTGAGGTGAGGTGTAGGTCAGAGGTCTGAGGGAGCAGGGTATGTAAAAGTATTAACCAGATACAGAGTAGGAAGCAGAACTGGCAGATCAACTGAAGTACACTGCTGAGGGAAGCAGGGATGGAATAGGAGAGGTCTGCAAATCCATGTGGGTCATCTCCGTGGCTGATAGGGATCAAA